ACAGTGCTTATTGATATACGTTGGGTAAGGGCAAAACCTGTTATATATAATTAACATCTCCCCAACGCAAAAAAAATACATCTTGAAAATATTATATTATATAACCAGGCAAAGGTAAGCATGCGTATTAAGTTATCGAGTACGCATTCTTTGATTAATTTCTGTCTATTTCTTTATTTTCATGATGTCATTATAAAGACTTTGAAAACAAGGTTTCAGAAAAACTATATTTTACAAAACAAACTTAAAAATCGTTTTGTTAATATACAAAGCCATCCATAGTTTTGCTCCTACATATTTTCAGGATCCTGACATTATTGAAGAGTTTAGATACCATCTCAGGTTAGCAAACAGCAGCCCTCTTAGTTATCCTAATGGTAAAATTTTACCCACATGAGGTGACAGGGCATTTGCAATGGCTGCTCGTTAGTTATGCAATGCGTTGCCATGGCAGATACGGGGCGAGCAGAGTCTTGCTATTTTCAAATGTAAAGTTACAGCTCACCGTTTTAATGATGTATTTTCAAGATGATGTTGCACTGCATGTTTACTATTTTTAGTTTTAATGTTGGTTCAGCGTGATTTCCTAATTTCAGTGTCACCGTGTAAGGTACAAGTAGTTATTTTTTTACAGCATAAGTAGGGTATAACTTTTATAAATCATAACCATTACAATACGTTCATCAAAAATACCATCAAGCAGTACCCAAACGATCGATCCATATGCGTTTGCTATGATATATAATCAAAATTCACAATCAAAGCTAAAATTTTGTAGCAGCTGTAAACCATGGCTTTTCATTATAAGATGGGTTTACATGGTGAGACAGTCGAGTTAATATAGGGCTTGATATCAATGTTGCTATTATTGGATACGGTTGCATTACCTAAATGATTTCATTTCCTACCTCCCTGCTAGTGAGCAAACCGTCGCCAGCTTGTGTCTGAATTGGTGTTGTCCAAACAAGTCACGTCAAAGCACGTATATCCCATGTCGCCAACAATTCGTGATACCTGTACTCGCGGCCACATTTTCTTAAGGCCGAACTAGCAAAATAATACACAAAATATCAGAACAGAACTGTCTCTCCCCCACACTTAGCTGCAAATCCATGAGGAAGGAAGGCGATTATTCCCCTTTCCTGCGAAGTATTAGCACTAACATGAACAGGGCACCATCAGGTTCCCATTGCTTGTGACAGTGCTGGCAACACCACAGACGCTCAACTTGTGTTCACTGGTCTTTAGCCTATGTGCGGGTTAACAGGGCGCGTCCCTGCTACAATATACTCATTCACAATACCACCTGTTGGCTAGCGCATAACTGCGCAGTTGTCTTCGAAAGCGCCACATGGCTGTTGCCAGGCAATTGACAGGCATATGTGAGTCTATCATGTGTCTAGAGCAAGGCCTATGTTTCACACTGGAAAGCCTGGTTCAGACTAAGCCACTACCCGAGAAGGAATCTTTAAAACTTCTTTCGTCATTCCTACTGGGATTACTTTCAGAAGGGCTCACTATAAGAGAATATGCTAATTAATATCTGGGTTTTGTAAAATTAATACATGTTCACGTAACTCGTCTCGTCTTGCAATTCATCTTTAAAACTTAAACCCATTCTAAAATGATGCATTAATTAAGATTGCATATTTAATGGCTGTTTCATGTTTCTGTTTATGGCTTGACGAAACAGTTTTCACTAGAACAGGAAAAGCCAATAGGCCTAAGCCTTTTGCGAATTATTGAAACGTGTACACTGAGTTGCCTGTACATAAATATAACAAATTGAATCCCCAGACAAAAGACAGTGTAGACTGATTCCCATCCCTTACGTAGTCTCCTGACGTCTTACAGACCTACCTATACACGTATAATAGGGACGGGGAGCGTATTTGTTTTTCCTAGGAAGGTTGGAGTAATTATCATATGTGGGCGTGGTTAACTGCGAGCTCGATCAATTTAGTGGACACTTTGCATGCTGAGAAACGTAATTGCTATTACAAAAACATCCTCCATGCAACTAACTAATTCCTCACCAAGAAAAAGTATTACTCCATAGACTCGAACCCTCGGCTTGTTGGTTCTAAGTACATGTTTAAGGTTTTTCTCACGGAGCTACGATATAAGTCGGTCAGTAAAGCAATTTTGTCGTGCGTGTTAAACTTAAAAGTTTGTGTACCCATTTATTCCCCAAACGAAAAAACGCACGCTCAGCGATAAAGATACACCCATTTTATTATAATTACCCCTAACCTTCCAATAAGTTGCCATAGACAACAGTGACAAATATTCCCATTTCAAAAAATCAGGAAAAATACCGTCCAGAGTGAAATCATACCTAAAAAACAGCCAGGAGCCCCATCCCCATTGTTTGATACCTATCCTCCATGGCATCATAGAGCAATTTAGAGGAACCCGTTTGGTCCGATACTTAGAAATACACTTAGAAAATTACGCGGACGGGGGCCAGTCCCCCGTGGCCGGCGGTTCGCTCCTTGTCACGGAGGTAACTTGCGTGGTGAAAAACTGAGATCTGCGTTATATAATGTCGTGGTCTTTGCGTTTCTTTTACCGTGCAAGTTGATTCGATGGGTAACTCAAAGGAAAAACCAGATGCAAATATCTCAACAGTATGGCGTACTATGTATGGTGCACTATTTACGACAAACATTTCTCCCTCTTTAGCCTCCTTCCAGGCAACGCAAACAAAAGACGCGACTCCCCTGCGTCGTTCCGTCGGGTCGAACCGGCGCCTTCTTGCCATTTCGTATGTACACACACGACGCGTAGCGTCGTGCGTCGCGTCGTGCCGTCGCCCGTCGCGTCGTTTTGTCTAAGGTCCTTTCCTTGTTGCATTGTTTCTGCTTAAACGTCTTCCCTTCCGTCGCCCGTCGCGTCATGCTGTCGTGCGTCGCGTCGTGCTTCCGGCGACCTGGTGCACGACACGACGCACGACGCGACGCGTCGTGTGCTGGCGCCCTTTACTTAATGGTGTTTATAGCGGGCGCCATACTGTTTTCTTCCACCTTTCTCGCAAAGTACATGCTATTTGCTCTTTGGTGTTGATTATTCATTGTTATAATCTCATTGACTCATTAATTGGGATTAATTTCAGTCAAATTTTATTGAAAAAAAAGATGCAAAAGAAACTCCGAATAAATAGGAACTGCTCTCTCGAAATAAGTGGAAACCGAAAGCTGAGAATTCGTCACTCCTTCATTTCCCAGCCAATGATTTCTTTTGTTTTCTCACACTTTCGTCCAACGCACTAGCAAAATACATGCCCTGAGCAGTAGGCGTTGATTTTTTTTGGGGGGGGGTTGTTTCATCCGTTCATCAAATTGAATTTAGTTGTGTCATATTTTATCGAAAAGAAAATCTGCGTATGTAGGTGCTCTCACATAATAAGTGTAAGCCCAGAATTCGTCACTATTTAATTTAGCCGGCTGATCCTTGCTCGAATGTCCGTCCAATTTCTTTTTAAGACCGTTGGTGAATTTCCCATTCGTGGTAGATTTGTAACCTTATAAATATTTCTCTGTGGTCCATGCCAGCAGTTTCCAAGTAGTTCTCCAACTCCTCCAGACAATTTGTCTACTGTACGACCGCAAGTTTGACCATTGGTTTAGGTAGTTACCACCCAGCCTGCACCGTATTATTACCCTCAGAATATTCAGTCTTCCTTCAATTTAGTCTTCTTGTTAACTTCATCAGCACCACACTTCCAATGATATTAGTCCGCCGGCGTGTTTCTTAATAAAACACTGCAGATCCTACAACCATTGTGACGGTGTCTCTTCTTCCTCTCTGTTT